AGGAAGAGACTCGGCAGGAAGACACTTGGCAGGTAGAGACTCGTCAGAAAGAAACTCGGCAGGTAGAGACTCGGCAGGAAATGACTCGGCAGGAAAACACTTGGCAGGTAGGGACTCGGCAGGAAATGACTCATCAGGTAGAGACTCGGCAGGTAGAGACTCGTCAGGAAGACACTCGGCAGGTAGAGACTCGTCAGGAAGAGACTTGTCAGGAAGTCACTTGGCAGGTAGAGACTCGTCAGGAAGAAACTCGGCAGGTAGAGACTCGGCAGGAAATGACTCGTCAGGAAAACACTTGGCAGGTAGGGACTCGGCAGGAAATGACTCATCAGGTAGAGACTCGGCAGGTAGAGACTCGGCAGGAAGAGACTCGTCAGGAAGACACTCGGCAGGTAGAGACTCGGCAGGAAATGACTCGTCAGGAAGAGACTCGGCAGGTAGAGACTCGTCAGGAAATGACTCGTCAGGAAGAGACTCGGCAGGAAGAGACTCGACAGGTAGAGACTCGTCAGGAAATGACTCGTCAGGAAGAGACTCGGCAGGAAGAGACTCAACAGGTAGAGACTCGTTAGCTGCATGACGTTAGTTTCCTTCTGACTGATAAAAAATTTATAAAACTGTTTCACACAGTTTGACTTTCAACTCATTTCTGCATCTTTTACTCATTTATGGTTTCAGAACAAAAGTGTTGAAATAAAAACACAGTTTTTAGTGTGTAATCAAATTAATTAAACATCAAACTGAAAAAAGGAATGTGGTGTAAAAAGGGTTTGAGTCTCTGACTCGTTAACGACTGGAAATGAAATGAGGTGTTTTCATCATCAGTGAAAACACTCGAACAATCAGCAGCATTTTCTTTTTCAACAGCAGCGTGATCGGGGGGGGGGGGGGGGGGGGGGGGGGAGCAGGAGGAAGACATGATGGATGGATGAGAGTGGAAGTGTGGGGGAGATCAAATTAAAGCTGATAACCTGTCTGTACCTGTCAGTCAGTCACTTGGTCAGTCTGTTGGTCAGGCTCTGACTGTGTGTTTTCTGTGTTTTTCAGTCCTGTGATCTCGATCTCTGGTTCTGGTTCTTGGTTCTTGGTTGACCCTCCGGTCCTGGGACAAAGGCCCAGAACTCTGGGAATTATAACTGAGCACAGGGAACACTTTGTCCTTCTCTCTGTCTTTATCTCTCCTCCCTCCATTCTCCTTTCTCTCTCTCTCGCTCTTTTTTTCTCTCCAATCTAGAGACAGAGAGAAAGAGAGACGGAGAGAGAGATAGACAGAGAGAGAGGGAGGGAGAGACAGAGAGGCAGAGAGAGAGAGACAGAAAGAGAGGGAGGGAGAGACAGAGAGACACAGAGAGAGAGGGAGGGAGAGAGAGAGGGATAGAGAGACAGATAGACAGAGAGAGGGAAGGAGGGAGAGCTGTGGGCTCAAATGTCAGAAAGTCAAAGGTTTCCCAGTCAAGCAATTACACAGCACCACAACAGTCTCTCTCTCTCTCACACACACACACACACACACACACACACACACACACACACACACACACACACACACACAAGGTTACATACAGCATACACATCACACACATGAGCTCGTCGTCACAGACTCACACTTTGAAAAAGTCACAATGTCCGAGGTGACGCACACACATGCATACTTTCCACCTGTCACTTACACTAACACACTAAGGGCTGTACACACACACACACACACACACACACACACACACACACACACACACACACACACACACACACACACACACACACACTCTGTGAGGTCAGGTGGTTTCTCCATCAGCAGCTGTGAACAGTGAAATGATTTTAGGTTCAGTCTTTGATGAGTCTAAGCTGCTTCACTCTACCTGCCTACAAAGACCACACACACACACACACACACACACACACACACACACACACACACACACACACACACACACACACAGAGAAGAAGAAATTCCGGCCTTGAAAGTTTTTGAAAATGAATTTGATGAGACAGGAAGTGACTGTACACATGAAGCCATCAGGTTAAGACTCAGGTGATGGAGACGACAGTGTTTGAACAACAGTGTAAAGACCCTCGGACATCAGGGAGCAATCAGTGTTCACACCTGGGTCACATGACTCTGCAGCACTCAGGAAAACCAGTTACAGGAGACCTATGGTTGTTTTTGATCCTCTCTGATATCTACATGTGTCTACTGTGTGTGTGTGTGTGTGTGTGTGTGTGTGTGTGTGTGTGTGTGTGTGTGTGTGTGAGTGTGTGCAGAATCTATCAGCTCTTCTCATCCTCACACTTTAAATCATTAATGAAGTGTTGCACCTCTCCCTGGTCAGTGCTGGGCCTGCAGTGTGTGTGTGTGTTTATCAGTGTGTGTGTGTCTGTGTGTGTTTATCTGTGTGTGTGTGTTGTGTATTTTCTTCATGTTCATTTACCTGTTATTGTGTCTGTATATGTGAGTATAAAGTGCTACTGTAAATGTACCACCATGTGTTTGTGTGTTTG